TCTTATTCTTTAAAGGCTGCTTGTGTGGTGATTCATTCTAATTGTCACTTGATACTTTTTCTTTACGCATAATTTCAAGTGTGTGTGCGTAATAGTCCATTTGTTGCATTTCTTGCTTTCTCTGTCAATTTTACGATAATTTGCTTAAGTGGTCCCGTTATTGTCTAGTTGCCTTCAATTCAAAGACGTATTCAAGTTGCAAAAGAAAGCTTTGACTGTTTAAAGCAACGTCATATTTGTCGTTTATGAAGAGAAGAAAATGTCTCCCGTGGTCATGATTCAACCACGTCGGCATTTGTTTCGGAGCTTGGGCTTATGCAAATGTTCACTACTTTTTCACTACTTTCTTAACTAGCAAATTACTCCATAGCCTACGCACATCTAAGGATAAGGTTGAGTAAAAGGTGGGACGCATCATGTGTGTTAACGACAATAGGTGGACAAAAGTCATTGACTAGATTTCTAGGATGTGAACTGCATGCCGGTAGACCACCGACTTGACCAAATGGTCAGAATTCTTCAAAAAGTGCTTTGAAGAAAGATATGATGCTTAGCGACCTTCTAAAGCTAACTCAGTGGGCTACTCTTGCTTGCGGATAAAAACGGAGACTTTATCGGCGACCGCTCGAGTCAGTCGGCAATCAACGGCCGGACGGATGGTGCGGAATACAAATGGACAATATCCGACGGCCTACTGTGATTTTAATACGCCTCATATCTATCTACATAGAAAAGTCTGCCCACATCTAAATCTAAAGACGTCAAAGTTCGGGAAATTTAATTCTTTAAGTCGTTATTGAAGAGGTTTAACATTGTGGCGCCTAGTCACAGTTCAATGGGGTTTTTTGTTAGTCGTTTACGGTGCTCAAGTGTGCTGTCCGTTTGACACTCGAGTGTAACCGGCAGATGAACGTTACATTTCACTCGCCTTCCTTCATTCAGATCTTGAATAATCGTTCCTACACACTCAGTACGTGCGATCCTTACGGCCATTTTGAGCAGACGATACAGAAAAATAGTCACACTCCATGGGAGCCAGATTTTCATGAACGAAGAATGAATTAACAAAATAAGGACTCTGCTTTAAAATAAAAAAAAGAACTCTTACAGTACAGATTATTATGTAAGTAGAACGAGTTCCGTGGATGTTTGGGAAAATTATCTGAGATTTTAGAGGGCTTGACATCTAAACCCTTAGTACTTTACTAACTTTTGCCCAAATAAAGATAATTCAACTTGATACGACTACGAAAACCTATACCGTGAAGTCGAACAACTACGAGCCATTAACTCGAATCATCGGCTCTAATGAAGATGAAGACGTCGAAAACTTAGCCGAATAAAGTTTATGTAACAACCTTCTATAAGCTGAACAATCCAGAGAAATATAAGTTTTAACATTCTTAATAGATGGATCACACGAACATATGTACCCTATTTTATTAATGAGCTTGGGCGAGGTTGGCATAAAAATTTCATTGTCGTTTCGGAGTCTTCGTTTGCTTCATAGCTCGCACTGATTCTAGTTGATTGCCAACAGCCGCTTATTGCTTGAAGTGGATTTTCGTAGTCACATCGAGTCCTAGTCTAACAAAAATTTTGAAAAGCCGAAATCTGTGGTTTTACAGGACGTGGGATTCTCGTTGGCTTATTTCGTTTTCTCGGTAATTAAGGCTTTACTATTAGGGTATAAGAATGACTCAGACGGTAGTGGCGATTGTTGCTCCATCGCTCATACATCACTGGGGTCATGTGATAACCATCCTACCATTTTTCGAATTCCCTCAAATATACGAGATAAGAAACCGAAGAATTCGAAATATGCCCTCTAAAAATCCTTCTACGAAGCCCCTCCAATATCCCCGATCGTCTTCCTGCACTCTCCTATTATTCTCCTACCCACTTGACGTTACTTCTGATACGTGCAAAAACTACTTTATCGCTTTATTGGGGGCATCGGTTGTTCCTGAATGTTGAGCTGCAATTTGGCGTGGGAATTCGTTTTCCCACTGCGAGGTCATTAAGTCTGAGAAAGGTTTTATTTTTTGAAGTCACTGCAATTTGTAAGTATCCTTTTGCCAAGGACATCAAAAATAGAGGATCTGACGCGTGAAGTACGATGCTGTTCGTGTCTCGAGAGAGAGTGCAGCTCTCTAAAGGGCGCTGATCTATGACGGGCATGAACAGATTTTATTGTTGTCCAGGCGAATTTTTAACCAAGTTTAATTTAAAACAACTTTTTTGCTCTCCCAAAAGCCCAGTTCATTGTTATTTCTGGAAAATAGTAAAACTATGTTTGAGCAATTCTTTAAATCCTTATTCAGCAAGCACAAGTTGTTATTTTATTACTTTACGCACAAACTGACCTTTCGGCGGATTTCGCCTTCCTCAGAGCTTGGAAAGGTCAAGTTGATTGCAATCCACCCAGCCGAAGCCCTTCATGACCCTACAGAGAAAATGCTGGAATTTCCTTTTTTTAGGATTTGTTTCCTCAAGAAGAATATAAAAAATTGGTTAATCGATGTCGAGGTTAATAGAAAGTCGATTGTGGGAGTTATTATGCTTCATTACTCACGTTTCTTCATGAAGTCCATTATCACTCATTTTTTTATTATGAGTATTGCTATTCATTATCACAAGAGTTGCCATTAAATTTACTGTGCAGATCTCAGCATTTCTTGCATTCAATTCGTTTTCCTCTCATCCATCGTCTACAAAAGTCTTCGAACATTTCGCGTGTTGTTTCAGCTACTGGTTGAGGATTTCTTCTTATCAATGTCGTAGAATGCTGATCGAGTCGATTCTTCTGTAAATCTTGGGGATAGCCCAGCTAGGTCGTTCCTACATGGATTGAAGGACAGTATCCGCTTGGGAGTTTAAGCACTGCCCTGCTTCTGTTGTACTGTGTAACTGATCACTACACTGTCTCTCTCTCCCCTGTAAAGTCCACAGGTGTGCGAATCAGGAGCCAAAGATCAGACGAAAGTTGTGGACGGTAAAAAAGGAGCTTGGAGTATTAAAGTTAGGTAGTTCTTAATCAATTTTTGTGTGTTGATTCAACTCACGTTCCAATGATTCTGTGTTCTGCGAAGGACACGTCTGACTCATCGTCCTTTATGAATACCTTCACAAATTCTTTCCCGGACAACTTTGCTGCAGTGCTTCTCACGAAGAATGATAGTTGAACACCTTTGTTGAAAACTCTCTTTTAGATGTATAAAGATTCTTCTCTTGAGGAAAAACTTTGAAAAGTAAATTTCAATTCCAATTTTTTCCAGTATTAAGTATAGTCCAGCACTAAGTAGTCCAGTATTATTATGTAGTTTTTCCAGTAAAATCGGTTGAAGTATTCATCGTTAACGAAGCCCTTGGACAATAAGTATATAAAAAGTTCCACGAACTTCCATCGAGTGGAACATTTCCGACTATCTGCGATACTAAGTGGGGCATCCACAGGTGGTGGCGGATCAAAACAATTAGATATGGAAAAAATCCGCTGTGTCTTTGCCATGAGAGGCCGGTGGATTCAGAGAATAATGAGCTCCGTCCGTTTCCTCTTGCTGGTATATTGGATTGATTCATATTTTCGTTTTGTCTATTTTCTTTTTGAGGAAACATGAGGTGTATTTTATTCTTTATTCAAGAAAAAGCTGAGGTTTCAGCGAATTTCGGCTTTCTCAGAGCCTGGAAAGGTCAAGTTGGCCACAATCTACCCAGCTCAATGGCGAAGTTAATAGAAAGTCGGTCGTGAGAATTTTTTCGTATTGTATTTTGCAGATCTATTTAGCCGAATATGTCAAATAACGAAGAAGTATACGGCACATGGTTTCAGGTCGCTTTCAATGAAAATGCCCAATTCCATTCCGGAATTCCTTTACCTGCGTGTGCTCGTTAACCAAAAGTCGTAAGAGCAAATGTCAACATTCGGAAAGCGTCGTGCTCTTCGTATTCGTCAAGCGAACGCACCATGCCGACTAGCTTGCATTAGTGAGCGACAAAAATGGACAGAGACTTTACTCATTCCCATTAAAGACAGTCGAGGATTAAGTAGATTGCAGATGACATAAATGAATATAAAAATTCTTTCTCAATTTTCATTTTCGCATTGAATTTCTTCCTGGATAATGCATAATTCGGACAAATATCACTGTCTACACTTGTATCATTTTGCTGTGTAGTTGATTTGTTGAATGCCTCACGTAAAGTTATTGGATTTCTTTAGGTATTTTATCGAAATGTTTATGATGAGCTCCCAAGAAAAGTCAGTAGGATGAATGGTATGTCCTCTTCTTCCTCTTTTCCTTTCTTCTCGCCTTATGCATCTCATCTAGCGCTTCGTGAATTTACTCACCACCTCTCTCAAGCATCATCGTACCATGAGAGAGACACGCCTCCGCAAAGTACAACAAAGTTTTCTCGCAGCGTCGTCGGCTATCAACGCGCCATATCACTGGTACAACACACCAGTCCGCTATCAGATTTAAAATGTTGTCGAATGTTGCTGGAAGTGGCTTTCTGATATTTTGCTACCTCTGAAATGAAAAGCCGGACTGACGTTCGTTGTGGTTGTCGAGACATCTCGTCCGTCTTCTATCTAACTTTGGTCACTATTCGTGTCGTTTACTTTATTGTTGTCTGTCTCATTCATTTAGTAGAGAAGGAATCATCAATAATTAAATGTAGTAAATCATTGAATAATCAGCAGGATTCCATCAGTCGTTGTACACCTCAAACCGAATCCTTATTATCTCATCGTTGCATAAATTTCGAAACGAAGTCTGCCTTTACTTTTCGAATCATCCATTATGTGCCCCGTCAGTTTTTTTTTATCATACACATTGTTTTAAGCCTTCTCTCTCTGTTTGAATATCGCACTTTACTCCTGTTTAAGGTAAACACTATCCTATACGGTTTTTATGCTGTGTTCTGCTACAATTTCTTTTAAAAGTTCTTCATGAATTGATTGATGTTCGTTTTTTAGCCGTTCTTTACGGTTCCGAATGAGGCCGGCCACACTATGGGATTGGCTGACTGCCATCTCGTTCGTGGTTGGTCTAGTCAGTTGCCAGTCAGAGGAGTACGATCCCTACCAGGAATTTATCACCACTGAGAGCGGTAGGCGAACCTTTAACTAAATCCACATATGGGTGAACTGTAGAAAATGACTCGAGAGAAACACATCTCTGTTTCGACACAATGCAAATTTAACTCTTTCCATGCGATCGTTGCTTACTTTTATGGTTTACTAATGATTCTGAAGTAATCCCATAGAGTTCTGTGACGGATTTCATTATTTTGTATTTTAACATGAACCGCGTAAGCATTGGAAATGGAAAAAAAGATGAAAAAGAAAAAAAGAGCTGTTTGAGTAATCAAAAGAAAACAGACAGAAAAAACTGCATGGAAAACTGAACGGCTAAAGATTCGCTTGAAAATCAAGGAGTAAATAGAAGTATAGAAGAAGGAAAGCATAAGTTTTCGTAAACACGAACTTTTATTCCCAAATTATTGAATCTTTTTTCCAACTCTTTTCATCACATTTCTTTTAAGAAAGTCGATTTTCAGAACGAGGCCTCTTTCCGAGCATCTTCAATCTGGCTACGAACTCACTTATTAACGCTACCGCCACTTGCGGTTACCGTCGACGAGAGGAGTACTGTAAACTCGTCGAGCATGTACTGTTAAGGAAAACAACGACCGTCGCGTGAATAATCTCAGCTTTTCAAACAATTTCAGATTTTTGAACGAATAACACGATCTTCCGTTTCTCCATCTTCACTACTTCTACCTAAATAGAATGCAATATTAATGACTTTTTTGTTGTGATGAACACTGCGTAAAAGTGAAAAAGCTTTGCTTCCTTCATGGCATAATCTCTCTCCATTTCCTCGTCTGCATTTATAAGCCGTCACCACTTTTGCATTTATCTTTCAAAGTAGGACACGAATATTTATTCCTAGATCTAGTGTAAACACAAATATGGATACAACCACAATGGTGTTGAGATATTTGCAAAACTCCGGACCACAGGTGTCTGCGGTGGGGAACGAACGCGCTATTACTCTTTTCGAGGAGTAACGCATTCACCACCACACCATGCGGGTCCTTCGTTTCGCCTGCCTCTCAGCTATTTCAAATATGAATATTGTAGAATGTCATAAAAAGCGTTTAGATCACCGCAGTGCGACATATGCGACGCTAATGATCCAAGCCGTCGACATCCGATCGAGTTTGCCATCGACGGAACGAAAAAGTAATTTAACCCTTTAAATTACTTGTATTTAGGACAAATGTCAGACGGAAAGGATATTGTCATAGAGAGATTCTTACATCTACCGATAGTTGCTTATTTAAATCGTTTTCGTTTTACCTTTCTTTAAGAGCGACTATCATTACAGGTGGTGGCAGTCACCATCACTAGCTAACGGTTTGCAGTATGAAAAAGTCAACATCACCATCGATTTACGACAGGTAATATTTTTTACGAATGTTAACAAATTCACCGTCTGCCTTACCAAATCTTCGTTCCTACCTTTCCTTCGAACTTTTCACCGCTCAACTATACAATATGAGTTGTCCACCTTTTTTCTTTTGCGCCAAATTTGATTTTTTAGCCCTTTTTTAATTATATTAGAGCTGTAATTTTTGACAGATGCTATAAAATAACTCTGAAGTTCTCTTGTATAGATGAAGCTTTTAAACAGCTTAATATAGGTCTTTCATTACTTTCGGCACTGTCATTCTTAACTCCATTCGATGCTCTACAACGACCATCAAGTACAAAGAAATGTTTGCAGTTCGGGTTTTCGTCTGATCATCTTCGATTTATTTCCTATACGTTCTGCTTTTCTTCCGTTTACTCTTCGAGCTTAGTCAAGAGCGCTCTGTCTTTTTCGATCAACGTCGCCGGAGCGTATTGACTCACAATAATGTTTGGCTTGATTGCGCCATACAGCATGAGATCGACATGATGCAAGTTTGCCGACGCCCTCTACTTCCAGAATGCAAAGGTCAGCATCGGAATAGCGCAATGCTCTGGACTGGACGAGGAGAAATAATCTGCCAGAGATATTAAAGATGACATGTTTTCTGCAGTTTTTGAGTCAGTTGTGAGAAAAACCATCAAATAGTTATCTAATAAATTTTCCTGTTTAGAAACGAATTTTATATTTTATGGGGCAAGGCAACTTAATAGTTGTTAACTGAAGGAAGCGCTTACTGAATTGAACTGAGGAAAAAAGGAAAGGGAAATGGAATTAATATTTTGAAATGAGGTGCCTGTAAGGTACATTATAGAAGGAGTTGTGCTTTACCAGGTATTGGTGCGTACTACCTTCGTTTGGTATCTTCCAGATCTCCTCTATCGGCTATGTACATGAAGTTTGAGCTTTTTTTTAAAGAAAGTGAGTCGTCATTTGCATTAAGTGCATAATTTAGGAATATCAAGTGGCGTATGTGGTCGTGAAGATGGGTAACACTCCTCGTCCAGGCACATGGGTACTGGAGAAGTCACTGAATGGTGTAAACTATGAGCCATGGCAATACTATGCCACTTCGGACGCGGAATGCATGCGTCAGTTCGGTGTGCCGGCCACCACCGGCGTGCCACGATTCGAACGTGACGATGAGGTGCTGTTCCAAAGTCCTCAAATTTCATACCAAAATTTACCGGTTCAGCTCATATCACGAGCCCTGGCTTGTTTGGGTACTGTGTAAATCATTTATTTCAACTCCTACATCGCTCATTTACCTATTCATTTTCGACCTGGGTAAAGGCATCGTTTGCTGCTGATGTACGGGAGGAATAATTCACTCAGTGATGTCACCCGAGATGAAAATTGGCTTAACATTTCTGTTAAGACGTTCAGCCAAAGTAAATCAGTTCCAATAATTCTCGCCGGGCAAACTTCCCTCCAATCCACAAGAATGCCATTATTTTTCTGTAGGTTGACCTGGGAATGCTCTAATAACGATTTACGGATGTTCCGAAAAAAAAATCTGCCACATCATTGTAATAAGAGGTGATTTTTTAAAGAAGCAGCTCTACTATGTTTGAAATGTAACTAAGCCATTGAATAGTCAAAAATCGCCGGATTTTCCAATGCATCAAAATCCTGTGCAAGCCGGGACGTCAACTATATCGGTTTGCGATGGCAATTCCCATAGGTTTTACAACTTCAAAGTGTTTCTTCCGGAATTTCAGTTCGCAAAATCGTTGCAGATATCTGTTACAGGTTCACTGCACAAGTGAATACTCGAAGATCACCCCGTTAGAAGGCGGTGAGATCCACACCTCGCTCGTCAATGGTCGGCCTGGTGTAGAAAAACCATCAGTGGAATTGCAGGTACACAGTGTTGGCATCTGGATCAATCGCTTATGAGATAAGATTTTCCAGAAGTTCACACGGGCCCGATTTGTTCGATTGCGTCTCATCTCGCCACGTACCTTGAACGCTGATCTGATGATTATCAATCAACAAACACATAGAATTGACAAATCGGTAACAATGAGGTAGGCGACCAATAACACCTATTTTCATGTCTTTTTATTGAGTTTGCTAATGTTCACCTTCTGTTTCATATACGTTTAGGTATTTCTATTCGATTTCCGACATATCTATCGGTGGACAGTGTATTTGCTATGGTCATGCCGAGAGCTGTCCAAGTGATCCAGTAACAGGGGTGAGTAACGACTTTTGATCATGTTTACTTTTCTATTTTCTGCCTTCTATAACTTTTATGGCAGCGTATTAAGCGAAATAAAACTACAAGATTGTTGAGATATTTGCAAAACTCCGGACAGCAGGTGTCTGCGGTGGGGAACGAACGCGCTATTGTCCTTTCCGGGGGTTAACGGTTGTATTTCGTTTAACACTTGCATAAAAATTATAGAAGGCAAAAAATGAAAAGCTAAATATTGTGAATTCAACTACTGCCTCAGCTTAACTGGGCTCAATGCCGATTTGGGCTCTCCAGATCAATCCCGTTGACGGGTGATTGCTGACGGCATTGATCGATAAAACTACCTGAGAGACAGGGAAAACGAAGGGCTCGCATGGTGTGGTGGTGAACGCGTTACTCCCCGGAAAGGACAACAGCGCGTTCGTTCCTTACCTCAGACACCTGCGGTCCGGAGTTTTGCAAATATCTCAGCAATCTTGTGACTTTTTGACTGTTGTCCAAGATGTGCGAGATGTTATGCCAAAAAAGGTGATTGCATTGAGTGGAACACTGTGAGGTTATGTTTGTTTCACCACAACAGTTCTAGATCTTATTTATTATTCAATTTAAACCCTTTCAGAAGAAGGTATAACGGAATGCAATCACAGTTGTATGTACAGACTGCTTCGAATTACTCCAACTCTCGACCCACACACACTTCGTCCTATCGAACGGTTTAGGCAGCCAGTTAGTACAAGACCGTACCAATCAGTCCACATTCACCGCCTCGTTGAATTTGTGGAAAGAAGGCGATTAGTCACCTGCGACTATCAATATATCCGAATGATATTGATCAACATGAAAATTTTTGTATTTGCTTGATTAGTTGGGTATTCAGAAAAACCGACGGAAATGAAAGTGACTAATCAAAACTCCGTAGTTCACAATTTTTCTTACTATTGAAACCTCCAGAACGTTTAGGATTCTTTCCGCATTCGAACAACTGTGAGACTTTTCGATCAGGGAGGTTGCTCCTAATGTTAAAGTATCACTTATCAATCTGCCTCGACTTCTTTTAAAGTATTAAGGATGGGGTGTCAGGTGTTAAATACTTGAGTGATGCACTATACATTCGATTCTATTCAGTACTGCAAACGTGACTGAGTACGTAATTAGCCACAGAATGGCTTGCGATAGATTAAATCAGCGTTTTTGTTCTCAAAGATAAGTGTGGTTCTGATTTGCAGACCGTGGAAGATCCTGCCTTGGTGAGCTTCGGACGCGAGGTCTAACCAAAGATCCATGACTATTACGGGGCACACGTAACTACTGTGTTGCACTCACCTCTTGACTTCTTACCGTGTAGAATCTTTTGTCGTTTATTTGTTTGTTAGGTATTCACGTACAGTAGTTCAATTCCAACTGAACACGGAACATATTCCTCGACTTAAACAGAAGTGACAACTATCGATTGTTGCGTTGTTTTTCAGCAATTCAAATGTGAATGTCGTCACAACACCTGTGGCGAATCGTGTAACAGATGTTGTCCTCTTTTCAATCAACTTCCGTGGAAGCCGGGCATAAATTCCCATCCGAATGCTTGCCAACGTGAGTGTTCCATTAGTGATAAACATTAATAAATGCTGTACTCTGAAGAATCTACTGGTAGCAGAAAACTCGAGGTAATCTGAATAAGTAACTGTGCGTCAGAGTGGTTGTGTTATACCTGTGTTGAGTTCTTCCTCTCTTTCATACTCTTATCTTCATACTTTCTTTCTTTCATACTCATATTATTACAGCTTTTTATTGCGATTTTATATTATAAATAGTTGTAAATGAATGTGATTTGGTACCGGCGATGAGATAATGGCCTCAATCTCATTGGATGTAGTAGATGTAGGTGACATGTATAGAAGGTTTTCATATAGTTCAATGGTACTTCATAAGTTTTCCGCTTTATATGCTGCCTGCTGTTGAGATTTTCTTTGATTTGAACCAGTATCGATTACTATTCAGAGTGCCAATGCTTCAATCATGCGGATTCATGTGTGTACGACGAAGAATTGGACAGGAACAAATGGTCAATAACTCCTGAAGGCGTATACGAGGGTGGAGGAAGATGTGCGGATTGCAAGGTGAGAGTCCAAGTACGGTACAGCGCTAGATGGACAGTCCCCTACGTCACAATAAGATGAAGAAAAATCATTCCTAAACACTTTCACAACCCCAGCAAATAAAACTTAACAAATAAATTTGCAATCGCATATGAAACAGCTTCATTTACACACCTACCGTTTATTTCTTGTAAGTATTCTTGTAAGTTAGTTGGTGGATAGCAGCCACACAGAGTAATACATGGGCGAGGACTGTGCTTATGTCAGGTCACTGGATCAGCCTGAGGTATGGCGCCAGGTCACGCGTGATGACAAGACACTGCTCCTTGCGGTCCATTTTTGAATTTTTGGAATTGACCCAAAACGCTTCAAGAGTTTTACGCGCTGGTGTTTTCGATTCGTGCGTGAGGATAGTGACTCCTACATCAAAATCTGTTCCGTTGTCTTGTTTGGTTTTCATTTAGATTTACCGACTAGGTGTTCTCTTATGCAGCCGCAGAGCGGTCAACCCGTCTCGCCAACGTATTCGTCCTCGCACGCTTTACAAGAGATCAGATAGACTGTTCTCGAACTCATGCAATCACCATCTCTACCGTTAAAACAAATTATGCAGTTTTTCGTTATACATAGACGGTCATATAGGCAGTTGCAAACTAACTGGCGTGTTAGAGTGTCTGATGACTTTTCCAGGTTCTGAAGAGGGCGAAACCACCGAAACGTCAGCTATTGTATCCTAATAAATTCTATAATAACAGTTTTGTGTCTGCTTATTGAAGAAAAGCATCGAATAATCAATCAATGCCGAGGTTAACAAAAAGTCGGTTCTGGGAAAGATTCCCTTTCTAACTGCAACCATAACCCAAGCCAAGAAAAATCTTCCCAAGTGACCTACGATGGCACTCCAACCAGTCGTTCTGGACATGGTGGAAATTTCTGTTACATTTCAAGTATCGTAATAAATGTATACATGTAGAAAAACTTCTTATTTCACTTTTTATTTTTAGCACAACACTGAGGGATTCAACTGTGAGCGCTGCAAGGATGGTTTCTATAGGCCAAGCGGTCTGTCACATTACAGGTCAGCTCCGGAACCTTCTTAGCTTCTCGTCCTTCAAACTCCGATTCATGACTAAACTGCCATTTTCAGAGAGGATGCATGTCGAACTTGTGACTGTGACTTAACAGGATCTATCAGTGATGTCTGCATAAGAGACGATCAAAGTGCGTTGTCAGGACAGGTGTGTAGTTGGTGACAATAGCCTAAGCCACATCGTTCACTTCTCGTCGCGTGCGACAGTTTTGGTTTTCACTTGTGCTGCTTTCGGCAAAATAGCAGATACGCGCTTTGTTTTTGTATGTATATTTTCATTCCTCCAAAGAACACGTGCCAACCGCACGGGGTACGTTATTTCACGGCAGGCTGGTGTAGCACATTCCGTGAAGTTGCTTATGAGGATTTCTACCAAAAGTTACGAATAAAAGTTTTTAATTCTGTTATCCGTTCTTTAGTATTGACAGAAAAGAAACAAAAAATCAAACGGAACGTGTTTATGAATAGATCCCACCAGTTTCACAGTTAAATTATAAGTGTGCTAGGAATGTAACTATTATATACATCACATAGAATTCGAGCCTAAACGGTCTGAAAGGTCATCAGCGTCCTTCTTTCCTTTGTGGGACCGTATGTCGCCGATAGGGGTTGGCTGTATTTACGAAGCAGCAAGGGAAATTTTTTATTCCAGCATCCTGGTGATTGCGTCTGCAAACCGGGTTTCGGCGGACGGCGCTGTGAGCGCTGTGCTCCAGGCTACCGTAACTATCCCAAGTGTGAGCCGTGTCCATGTAATCAATCCGGATCTGTAAATTTCGACACGTGCGAAGAAGAGAAGTGGGTTCCGATTGCCAATTCGTGTGTACAATATGTGAATCTTAGCGAAAAATAATGAGTAACCGTTATCTTAGTTCAATTTTTTTCGGAAATTTTTTTGTGGTATTCCAGATGTAAACGAGAGGTTTTCCTACATTTTTGATCGAACAGTTCAGTTTTCTCTAAAAATCGTAAGTGGATATATGAGAACTAGAAGTCCGTGTTGCACTAAACCCGATCCTGTCGCCAATTTCCACTGTCCGGAGGTGATCCGCTCGTTTGAGCTACACGAACAGCATTACGATTTTTGCCCGAGGACTTCTTTCACTATTTACGCAACCTTTTTTGCACTGTTGCGAATTCGTAGCCATAAGAAATTGCTCGCCGACTGCCATAACACAGATTTGCCCATCAGTGAAATCAGGGATTCCGGTCTGCCGTGCCGAATGTTGGAGTGTGAACACCCACAGTATTTCGCAATTCAACCCACGGTTGCACCATGCACTAACCACAGTGAGGTCGTAAAGCAAACAAGTTAGGAGCCACCAATTTAGAATAGTTCTATCATCGGTTTTTTTTACAAATCATTCAGGTTTGAAGTGTACTAGGTTACAAGCCCTATTTGACTTTACCCTTGCATTTGAATCCTTGCAAGAAGTAGTTTGCTAAAAAAAAAGCAGAAGGAATTTTCTAAAAGCTCATTTGAAATCTTACTCAGAGTTAGGAGGCGATTAAAAAGCGATTGTTAGGCACAAAAATTTTGAAGATTCTCTGTATTAGAAGTGTATAAACTGAACGTTATTCAGTTAAAGCTTTTCAATTTATTGATCGCAATCGTTTACTGAGTTCCTTTGAGCTGTGATTTTTCTTTTAGTTGTCAATGCAAAGCAAATGTCGACGGTTTGTACTGCGATCGTTGTCGTCCTGGTACCATTCATCTGAACGCTAACAATCCACTGGGATGTCAAGCGTGTTTCTGCTTCGGAATGACTGACAAATGCAAGGAAATACCATGGGTGACTGCAGCGGTAGGCGACAACAAGCACTGTCTCAAAACTTCCTCACTAATCAGTAATGAGACTGCAAGACACGGTGGACGAAAAGATTCTTTTCTTCCTAGACTTTCATTTTCATCTTATTTCTACGAAAAGATGTTTCATTTGTCCTTGTTTGAAAGGCAGAATTCGTTCAGTAGTGTTAGTATAAAGTAGGACTCGTGTTCCACACATAAGTTACATGATTTTCTTTGCAACTGTTGTCTATATGAGTCATTTTTCAGATTTCGAACAACGTCGGCTGGAATCTGACCGATCTAAGCGGTGAACGTAACGTACGTCCAGAGATCGAGAATCGCGAAGTGTTAATGTTCAACGCGAATCAGAACAAGGATCAATCGTTGTTCTACTGGAAGGCACCGGATACATTCACCGGCAACATGGTACGGTCCGATCTGTGACTGAAGCGTATTTGATGACTCATAATGCGCCATCCTACCTTATAAGATTCATGAGTTAACACAAAAAGATCAAAAACAACGAATTCAAATGTAAGTTGTTGAGCAGAAAAAATTTCGTAAGTAAATATATATCTAAGTTGGAAGAATTGCCTTTAACAGGTGGAAATGGCTGCGTTAACAATTTCTTCACTTTTCTATTAGCAAAATGACCCGGTTTCCTAAGGTAAATACCGCGCATTCTTTAATTAATTTACCATTTTAAACTGTTTGAGAACCACACGAAAAATGTCATCTCCTTAGTCTATTTCGTAGTATACTCATGCTATAAGTGTTCTTACTTTTACCATGATAATTACTTGGATACTTGGATGGCCCGTCCTCACTGGCTGTGCAGGCCCCAGTACGACGTTCTTCTCTTGGAGTCTTGCTGATCTAGCCATTGTGATTCCCTGGAGTCCCGAAGTGAGCCTAGCCAAAGTCTGCTCCAGGTCCTCACGAGCACGGGCAGTCACCGCCCTTATGGACCAGAGTGAGATTCGCCACCATGCGGCTAGTTTGATGCCAGGGCGATGGTGGATTTTGGCAATAGTTTACTTTTAGCTGGGCTTCCTGTTGGGAACGCCGAACTCGTTTTCAGCTTGGGAGACCCTGCTGGGTTTTCCACACCGCTGTGCATCGTATCTGACACCCAAGAACACCTCCCAGCTACGATGAGGCGGTAAATTGTTGGGAAGTACCAAGTTAGTCAATCAATCAATTATTTAACTTTATTTGTACCAAATTACTTAGATAGTGAAACGAAAAATGAGACATTAAATAGTTTACAGTTTACTACCACACGTTTTAGCCATGCTGGGAGCTTAATAGGCACCTTTATTTTTGCCTACTTTTCATCCCGCTTATTAACTTAATTATTTGTCAATGAGGCTGAGATATTTGCAAAACTCCGGACCGCAGGTGTCTGCGGTGGAAAACGAACGCGTTACTATCCTTTCCAGGGAGTAACGCGTTCACCACCACACCATGCGGGTCCTTCGCTTAGCCTTTCTCTCAGCTAGTTCTATCGATCTTTTTGCTATCAGCAATTGAAAATATCTCAGCATCATTGAACGTTATATTTCGTAATATATACCCTACCGTTCAAAAGAGTAGGCAGTAAATAATAAGTTGTAATTGTGATTATAACTGCCGCCTCAACTTAACTGGGTTTGTTGCCGATTCGGGCTCCCCAGATCAGTCCTATCTGCGGATGATTGCTGATGGCAAAAGATCGATAGAACTAGCTGAGAGACAGGCGAAACGAAAGAGCCACATGGTGTGGTGGTGAACACGTTACTCTCCGGAAAGGACAATAGCGCGCTTGTTCCCCACCGCAGACACCTGCGATCCGGTGTTTTGCAAATATCTCAGTATCATTAAAAGTTATAAGCAATATATTCTAGGTTTCTTCTAATTTATATATTGATGTGAGGCAACTTATTTTGGAATCATTATGCGTTTTTGTCTACTTTTAGTGGTTTTGCCGTTGGGTAGGTAAGGTAAAAACTAATCAAACAGGCCGTACGGAGCCAATCGGCCAATCACACTGTGCGCATCATACACATATGATGATTGTTCATCGAGCTCTACATTTAGAAACTTTTACTTTAGTTAAATAGCTATGGTGGTAAACTTCATTTTTACGTCTACTACGTACCAATAGAGCAAGGCAACAGTGTCCCGGTAGCGGATCTCGTCATTGAGGTGAGCACTATCGTTCTCAAATACCTAAGAACTGGTTGCACTAAATCCGGTGCAGTGGTGGTCGTCTTCTATGTGATTCTGGTTGGGAGTTTATTCCAGCCATAATCTTCTTGATCCATGCGTACCATATTCTATCATATTGGTGGAAAAAACTTTGCAAAGTATTCATTAAACATTCAGAAAATGCTGATTTTAGTTTAAGGGAAGGAAGTCGTCACTTTCATATTTTTTAAAAACTTCGTTTTAAGATGTAACTATCCACTATTTTTATTATTGTTTTTAATACTAGCATTTTTGCAATTATTATCGTCACTACAAGCATGTAAGCTCACCGACCTTAATCATGGTCTCCCACATCAATGAAACTTTCATCTACATGTGCCAAGTGTTAAACGCCAACTTTTTAGCCATTTTGTCTTTGTTTGTGTTTTAGGTTGTCGAACATTTAAACTAGTATCAACTCGCTCAGAGAATTTATAAATACAGTTCCTACTGATGAAATAATAGTTAAAATCACATAATACATTTTATTGATTAAATTTCTCCTACAGGGAAATGGAATCAAAGTCGAGTACTACACCAGAATGGATTTCTTTCCACGAGAGAACATGACGGTTCAGATTCCAATTAGGTGCCGTGTTATGCCTACCTTGTTGCAGTACATCCCATGTGTTTATGTGGCATGACATTCTAGTTTTCTTGAAATTTCGGTTAAACGTCGGCTGGTCTCTTTAGAATAATTCTTTAGGGAAGGTGCTGGCTGGTTCAACTCGCTGACAAGGACTCCTGCTGAGAAAGCCGATATGATGAGAGCTTTGGCTGGTGTAGAGAAATTCCTCGTCCGTGCGATGTATCAACAGAATCAACTACAAAGCAGGTTGGACTACCAAAAGCAGAAACGAGGCACTTAAAAAGAGGAAAAATTAAAGATCTTAGAGATTTCCACAAGGAGATAAAGGTCTAGTATCGGTTGGAGAAATTCGAAAAAAAGAGGCAAAGTTTTATTATGATTACAAAATTAAGGAAATCTCATGAGACCCTTTCTTCGGAATATCTCATTTTTTTAAGTAGAAAACAAAGTAAATCGAATGAAATGAAAACAGTTACTTTTCAACTCTAGGTGACCTAAAGAAGATTTAAAAGGAGGAACAACCATAAGCCTGAAAGGGATTGTTAGAGATGTAGGCGTCTACTACCCATCATGTCCTTCACAACATAACTTGCAGCATCTTCGGTTTAACGCTGGACACAGCAGTACCACCTCCAGAAGGGAAACCACTTGAAAATTCCGATGAGGATGTGCTACATCCAGTCGTTCCCGATACTCGTATGCGAGGCGTCGAAGTCTGCGAGTGCCCGGAGCACTTTGTTGGAAACAGTTGTGAGGTGAGGGGAACATCTACCGTTTGCAGTAAGTGTTGGGTAAAATTCTCATGTTAGAGCAGGCACCATCCATAGGCCTTAAGCTTCTATCCGAATGAGACAAACGAACATGCGGCAAGTCAAATGTGTTCGTCACTGTTCGAATAATAACTCCTAGAACTGTTCTTGACATCTGATTTTCTCAACATCTCAAATTTTATTATTCGGTTAAAAGTTAGTCCATACTCATTTGTTCTCGAGTTTTCTATGTGGATAGAGTTTACAGAAACTGTTATCGGTAAATAATTACTAGATAGGTTTTTGGTAGATGCGTATATCCCAATAGGGAGATGTGTTCAGCAGTGCACATAAACTTAATGGTTTGCTATCGCATCCTGGCAAATTACTTGTAGAGATGTGGGAGAACAAGAGCCACTTATTTAATATATGAATTGGATCAAACGTGCGCTAGAAGCGTCGAATTCACAGTGAATCCCTAAAGGATTAATCACCGATTGCTTTACGCTTTCTCGGCCTCCAATTCGAAAGTCCGAAAAAAATGCCAAATCTCTTTTTAGTCATGTGCGGTTGGTTATCGACGTGTGAACAATCAACTGTATGGTGGTCGTTGTGAGAAATGCTCCTGTCAGGGACATACCAACACATGCGATCCGTTCACTGGTGCCTGCACAAATTGCCAGGTAAGCTCGAGATAGGAGAAATGACGCCGTTCCCAGGTAAATAATCGATTAGAAAGCACGGCCATATAGCGAAAAAATCCGTATCTGTAGAAAAAAAATGAAGTGGGCTGGAAGTGGAATTCTGTATGTCTTCACCCTCACCTGCATCGAGACTTGTTAACTCTTTCCTCATCTTTTACTATTGTCGTTCACTTTCGCTTTATAGCACAATACAACTGGAGCGCGTTGTGAGCTCTGTCTACCTGGGCACTATGGGAATCCATCTCTTGGTAGGAAAACTGTACTCGTTGTTCTAGTTGTATAGTTTCTAGACGTTCGTTTCACTTCGGAAAACGTCTAACAACACGATAACTGAGAATTTCTACTAGTTTATACGGAATCTGATCCAGATTCATTGAACTGCTCTTTCAGGTGGCGAATTGGGTTCATGTCGACCTTGCGCTTGTCCGACGACCGAGAACAGTCGCTCATCAGAATGCGTTATGACACAGGTATGAAGTTTGACCTTTGACCTAACAGATTTTACCTACAGGGCTTAGGATTATCGATTGACTGCGGGTAAATCTAAACCTCTACTCTTGTCCATTTGCTTGTGTTGGATTTCACTGATTGAAAGACTAAAGCAAAAAGTAATTCTGTGTGCTAATGTAGGAAATTGCGACTTATTTTTGGACATGATGTTTTCGATTATTTTTATTCTGGTAGGAAATAGAAAATGTCCGCAGAAGTTAGCAATTCTTGATGTTTCTTACACAAAGACGGAACACGTGTATCCTTTGCTGTGTGAGCTGTGCATTGAGCTCGATACATACGATTGTTTACATGTTATTATCGTATTTTCTAGAAAATTCACAATTTTGGCGCAACACTTCTCGCTATAACGCCTTTAGTAAGCGATAAAAAATGGGCTTTATGCCCTCGTATCTTTAGAAACTTCATAAAAGAGCCCAATTTTAAGACTGGATGCTCTACGGAGCAAGAGTTGAACTCTTCTTTGACTCCTAATGGCAACATGTCGACTATTCAGTAAACCTTTAGATTTGGTGAATAATCGCATTTTAAATCCGATTTTAATTTATTTGTTTTTGCTGTGCTCAATTCTATTGATAAAAATATAAAGTACCATTTTGCAAGTGAAAGGACCTTTAACTTTTAACGGATGTTGCACTTTTTATACCATCGCACATGGTTGCCCGAAGTTTACAACACGATTGCATGGAATGCATTTTTTTCGGTGTTTCATTTTACCACATAAAACTTCTTTGTTTTGCTTTCTGTATTTATCAGATAACATATCACAAGCAGATCAATGTGCTATGGGTCAGACAAAAGAGCTGCTCTTTACACTTAACGATCTGGGAAAATTGGTCTTCGGGCAATTTTATGTCTTAGCCCTTTTGCACTTTACCACATTTTTTACAGATATAGTTCAATTGTAGATGCATGGTTAACATCCTCAAAATTACGGATCTTATATGAGAAAGGCTGGGCATGCGCAAAGTGCGCGATCATCGATAGGATTAGTTGCTCTGCATCTTTAGAAACATTCCTCAATTGTTATTCTTTTGTCAAATCCTAAGAGACTGGGGGCTTAATTGGCTCATACGGGGTTGAATGAAATACTTTGAGCTGTGATTCATCCTGGTTTTGACGACATTTCATGCTGCACTTGGCAATACAAGCTGTGCTGACATCTAGAAACATGGCACCAACGTGTGTTTTGATTATTGTCTCATTCAGTTCAGAGAAAGCATTACATTCGGTGACACATGCCACATAAAAAGGTTCGAAAATAGAATCAAAGAATTCGTTTTGTATGCTGGATACGGCTATATATATACGATTATATCTGTGCTTGTGAAACATCAATAAGTGGAGATGTGGATTAAACTTACCTATGGAACTCAAAAACCCTTTTTTACTGAGGCATGCAGTTGTTCACAAAAAAAATTGGTATACAAAAGTCTTGGCAAGAGAACCCATTTGGTTGTCATAAGCAGGAAGAAAAGGAAGGATTCTCTATGAAGGTTATCCACCAGGAGCTGAGGAGAGGACACATGAAAGCTCGCCGAAATCGGCGGTGTACAAAAACCTTTGTTTTATAACCTGCAACTTTGGCAGCCTAACAGCCTGTTTCTTTACATTTCCAACCTAGATTCGAAATCTTTGCCATGTGCACTTTTTACATATAATCAGCAATACCCGTATAGAAGTTCCCTTATAAAATCAACAATTAGCAAACAATGATAATCCAGTAATATTAGCTTCGTAGAGCCATTGACGGAAACTACACGCACATTGTCGTAATAGATCCTCCATCCAGGAAGCAAATAGAAGGGGTTAGGAGAGAAAGAGGTCGTAGGCCTATATTATGGCGAGAGAAAGCTACGTGTAAATTGACATAAAACATGGAAATGCAGATATGTGTGCACCACTTCGTTCCTCTGACATCAAGACGCCGTTTGATCCTCCGCGTCTTCACGTTCTTCATAATCATTCACGGCAACGACTTGATGGATGGTAAAGCCGAGTTGGCCAATCGTTAACAAGATTCAACTTTAATTCTATGGAATTTATTCTAAAGAAAACATCCCATAAACATCAAGATTGGTGAGAAACACAAACGGCAATTAAGCAGATTCCTGCAATGGAAAAGGGAGATGACGGTAGCAAACGCACAAGAAAGAAATGGATGGCCACAAGAAAACGGAGAACGTAGTGTTTTCATTCATTTCATGTTTACACGATCCATCTTCTTATTCACTATGAGGGGTAGCAGCACTTCTTGGATCTGATTTGTTCCGTCGCATCCAACATCCACGAAGGTCTTCAAACTTTTCGCGTGTGGTTTCGGCAGTTACATAGGGGTTGTCATCTTCTTTATGAATGACGTTGAATGCTGGTCGAGTCCATTCTTCCTGTTCCCATGTGATAGCCGAGTTGCAGCATCCTCACTTGAACTGTAGAGAGTGAACTGTTCTCAGACATGTCTGCTACGAATTTTCTGACTCTCGATGAGGTGCTTGGTGAGAGGAAGACCAAACCAGCACCATGCTCGTGATGCACAGGGTGTGATGGCAGTCATCGCTTGATGACATAATGACATATTGTAAATATGATTACATGGTGACATATCACCTTTCACTTGTATCACCTGTTGTCTCTTTGATCGTCCAGTGACTCGAGCGGCCGCCAGTAAATCCTCCATTTTTCCCTGTCGGTATTAGTTTCATCTTCTAAAGCAATAGAATAAGGTCTTAACTGAACATATTATTACATATATGCATAAACCAAACAATACCAATTAGTAACTAGAACAATATAATAAGGAATGGGTGGCCTACCGGTTTAAATGAACAAGTAACTTCTATGGTATAGTTGTGATAAAGAGGAAGTTTCAGAAAAACTAGCACCGTCCATAGCGTCATGCATATAAATTTGAATTTTCGATCAATAATCAGTTTAATAAAAAAACCACCGGAGTATGCTCAATGTGACAAAAAAACCTGCAAATGTTGGCAGCAGTTCTGTTGGATGCTGAGCCATGAAGCAAAGCCTCTTCAATAAACGAACGTTACCAACTTACGTAGTTCATACTACGCTCCCATCTCCAAATCTCCAAGTTATCATGAAAGAATCGCATATTGTCAAAACGAGTGTGCTGATAAATACGTTTTTAAATGACGAATGAATTCAGCATTTTCCACAACCAAGCTGTAATTAGACATCTTTTCACGCTAAAGACTGTGTGATTTTATTTATTTCTATTTTATCTGACCTGTCTCGAGGCGTACGGTGCGGATCTCTCTACTTCTCGCATTCGATTCGTTTCGTCGCGTCCATTATTCACGAAGGTCTTCCAACATTTACGTGTGGCTTTGGTTACTGCTTGAAGGCTTTCATCTGGACAGCAGAGTGTGATTTTTCCCGGGCAAGTCTGGTGCCAATTTTCCGATCCCGAAGGAATGAGAGGTTTAGTTAGCCTGGAAAGGAATCGAACTAGCACCGCGCTCGTGATGGCCGACAATACTACCATTGTGTTATCCGCCCTCTTCGTGTTAAGACCACGTGTTAAATAGCAATATCTATGATTTCAAATTTTTGAATTTTCATGTAATCAAGTTCTTCAATTGTATGCAGTTAGCATGAAACTGCTTTACCATGACAGTATTTAGTTAGTCGTTGCGGGACCAGCAGTTGCTCAAGAAGACGCTTACGTTTGTACAGCATGTGAACGTGGCTATGAAGGCAACAAATGTGAAGTGTAAGTTAACTGCCGTGTCATTATTCATTATTTCTTTGGAATCCTAGAACAATTTAAGCTCATAATGATGGTATCACGGAAGGAATTACATCAGTACACACGAAGTATGAATCAGTCAAATAGGTATAAGTGTTTGATAAAGTGGTTTTCAAATATATATGGACTATTTTGAGAGGACATTCCCTTTATTGATTTTATAGTGGTTTAAGGGTTCTAAAAATGTGAATGTTGATCAACGGGAAGAATCTTACATGCTTATTAGTGGCATTAGTAGTTTTTGGAGATCTGTATTCTAGCTTCCACAATTTTCTTAAATAATTTCTTTATTGGACCCTAACGATTATTTTAATCGTTTGAATGTGACTTAATATTAGACAATATTTCTATTAATTAGCTAGACAGAAAAACCTTGCTGAAAGGGTTGTTAAGGAAGGGAACTGAAATATTTAGGTGTGCTGACGGTTTCTTTGGTAGTCCAATGGAAGTGAACGGCACATGCAAGGAATGCGATTGCAATGACAATATCGACTTGATGGCAATTGGAAACTGTGACACGAAGACAGGAAGGTGCTTGAAATGCATTGGTTACACCACTGGAGAACACTGTGAGGTGAGCACCATCATACTCGGCACACATGCAGAATACCACTAGTGAAGACATTAGAGATTCAAGCTATCACTGCTCGTAATGCCAAAGACGCAGTATTAGAGTCATCGTAGACATAGACTATCACTCTCGTAGTCATCAGAGGCGCTAGGTATAACTATCAGAGTATAACTATAACTATAACCATTAGGCACTGTGTCGTCAAAGCGCTGGTGATCATTAACTCTGAGATCAAGATGTCTTCTGTATATATTTGCACAACATCTCCCTTAATAGCATGGCGAAAAAGAATAACCAATGTGAACGTCACTTTACTAAAGATGTCGAATTAGAAATGAAATATTTTCTTGGTACTTGTTGGTTAAATAGAGGATGAAGTTCTCGGTGTAAACAAATTCCTGAGGAATGCGCCATGCATTCGATTCACTAAGCATTGTTGGAGGTGATTGAATGCATATCTGGTCTTTACAATGACTCGCGGTGGCTCACTGATGCATCAAGCCGGTGCTGCTTTCTTACAAGATAAGTCTGATACCAATTTGCTGACCCCGGAGGGATGGAAGGCTTGGTGATCCTTGGGCCCGGGGATCGATACCATGTGTATTGCAGGGGCCTCCGATCATTTCACTACACGCGGCCTTGCTCGTTAAATAACCCGGCTATATGCAGAATCATATGAGGCTCAGTAAGTTTCGTTTTGGATGAGATTTTGGTGGTTGTTCAAGTTCTTTCTTTTTTCTTCCGAAACTTCGCCGTTACGAAAAACAGCTAGCGATTTTCCACAATCTGCAGAATCCGTGAGGGAATCTCAAGTTGGGTAATTGGACTTCACTAGTGCTTGGCTGCCCATGAGGCAAAATGGAATCGCTACAGCTCTACTTTGAAAGTAGAAGATGTTCGAGTAGTGCGTTTCTACTGTGTATTCAAAAACATCGATGTTCCTAGTGAGCATAAATTTAAGTCACGGTAAGCTCTTGGTTGTATTCAAAATGATTATCTCTTTTGTTTCCTAACGAACCATTGATAAGTTGAGAATGTTAGTTGATAGACAATCGAAAGGACGTATTTACGAAAGGTGGATTTCTAGTTGGAATTCTTCGGAATTATGTTTATTTAATGAGATTGCCGATCTTCATGTGTCATGGTGCTCTCATCATTTTTCCCAGTTTTTTGTTGTCTTGTAATCGTCGCTCTTGGGGATGCTCGACTGTGTTCACCTTTCGGTTGATCGCCTTCTTCACGAAGCAAATTATGCTTTTACGTCGAAACTATCGTGTCCTGATTGACAAAATCCTGCTTATGCAATCACTTGGTATTGGAAATACAAGGTTTAACAAAGAAAAAAGGCAAAAATATGTTTTATGGCTCCCAAGGTCGCAATTCCACCTTTTTAGAATAAGACAACATTAACTTGTGGACAAAAATTTGTAGGGGCTTTACTTGTACCGTTTTTCTAGAGACTTAAGAGATCCAGAATGGGTGGAAATTTGTTGGATTAACACATTCACTATAACCCACTTCTAAGTGGGTGCGAATTTGATGAAGCGAGTTTTTTACTCAAGTCGTCATGACCCATATGGAGGTCACACCAGCCACAATATGCCGCAATTTGGAAGCTGCACCAAATTTTCGTTACATAGTTCAGTTTTTCTCAGCGTTTTGAAAGAAATTCTTCGCCTTTCTTGTCATATGTATGCTGTATGTTCCCCTACATACATTCGTACAGTACTTCTACATCGTGAAGAAAAATAATAAAACTCGCCCACCATCCAACCTGTAACTCTTGTTCATAAACCTGATTCTGTTATTGGATTGTTTCAAGTGTGGATCGAGGATTTCGTCGCCTTCTATCGTCAGTGACTTGTTGGGTGCAACGAAATTGATTCACTATAAAATTCCTAGATAATATACTAAGATGATCCTAGATTTCACCACAGTCAGTTGCTGTTTTTATGGATCAGATGGAAACTTCTTGCCTTGCGGTTAAAATTTTTCTGTGATAGTAATGATTTGTGTGACAAGGGCAGTTATAGTCAGGCGACTAAACGAGGACGGTGTAGCAGACACGTTGTTCTTTTTTCTATTAGTTCTATGTCCTCGCAGTTTTCCTTTTTCCTACTGCTTGTATATTGATTAAAAAACGGTGACTAATAAGTAGCAATGACGTTGAATGAATGGCAGTTCACGTAAAAACTAATCCATAACTTGTTGCTTAGATTACAATAGGTGGAGGCATCTAGGGCCGGAAACAGAACGGTTATGGAACTTTTAACTTTTTAGTTATTGAATATGTTTGATAATCGGAGGGCGTTTCAGATTTGCAAAGATAACCATTGGGGTTCGGCACTGGAGCACACTTGCAAACCTTGCGGTTGCCATCACGTCGGCGCCATAACAGCTCAGTGCAACAGTCTGAATGGCGAATGTACCTGTAAGGAGAACTACATCGGAAGGCAGTGTGATCGATGCAAGGTGTGTTCTAAGAAATCGCCTTCTAAATTAGGATTTAACGGATGGTACTGGAATCGGTTAAGTTCGTTTATATTGCGCAATTCGTTGACAAAAGGAGTTCTACTAACCATCAGTATTCGGATGTATGCAGTATTTTGCCCGAAGAATATTGTGCAAAAGATAAGGACATCAAACTTCAAGACACTGGAAGTGAGATTCACGAATACTGATGCTAAGTAAAGCCATGCTCTATGCTTGGTCATCACTAAATCGCAAAATGTATCACGCTTCTTTCTCTGTTTTTATACGCTAACTCGTCCAACCAACGTGGTACGATACGTATGAAATGGAAACTAAATCTGCCTGGGTCTACTAGCTTTTATTTCCTCAGTTAAGCCTTCTAGAAACATGCAGCTTGGCTTGTTGAAGAGTTCCAAATAAGATTTGCAGGATTTGCGATAACGTGAGTTGGGTTTCCTTTGTTCATTCTTTTCGTTCCTTATCCCATCTCACCGGCCAATAGTTTATCGTCTCACTAGAGCTATGATTTAATTGACGAACAAGTGCACTGAAAATGAGAAAGAACCTTACTTTGCTACGTCGACATTAAACTCAAAGTAGACCTATTATACGGCGAAGACCGCTATTACACGAAAATTATGGTACTCTTCTTGGGCCTCAAGTGAGCGGTGTTGAATGAGCGACTCTGGTTGGGGAAAGGAACAAATGGAATCTATCCCAACGATTCGGGGTTGTCGATAACTGAAAGAGCTACAACAGATTGCAAGGATTCTAGTTCAAAAGCTTTCCCTATTTCTCATATAGTAGCATATTCTGTTTTTCTTCATTAGTTTTAACCTACAACGCCTCTGAATCACTTCTGACAAGCATTCAACAAACAATCAACCACCTTTCATGTGTCCCACATGTTTTGTTTCTGACAATTTAATGGGAATTCTAGCAGCCTCTGAACCATACTAGTATAATCTGAATTACCTGTCGTCCCGCTGAACGTCGAGTGACTCAAGCGGGTGCCAGTAAATCTTCTGTTTTTCACTGTCGCAAGCAAGAGTAGTCCGTGAGTTCTGCTTGCTCCAGGCAGTCGTTGAGCATCATACCTTTTCCCAGAGTTTTCGTAAAAAACTTTGACTATTGAGTTGACGGTCTTCCTGCAGTACGTTTGACCTCCGAGGAATCCAATCACTTATTGCTCATGCTCATCGGTTGTCGTTCATACGCATTATGTTTTCAGTTCACCCTATCTTCTACAGTTTGCCGTATAGAACAGCATCTTTAAATTTTTATCGTTAGAGCAGATTGGAGCTTCGAATACCTTCCTTCACTTGTGTGACACAGAATACTCTTAGCATCGTCATTTCGAGTGGGCGTCCAATAACGACGAGTTACCCTTCATCCTGCGTGCGCAGTGACCAAGTTTCTGACGCATGTGTTAAGGCACGAAATACCGTTGAGTAGAAAGGTGGGGACGCAGCCGGATGGTCTTTCTTCCCTTTACTCCATCCTCGATGCTTTGAAAGCTTCTTAAGCCGCAGGTGTTCTCCTGATCAACTGTGGAGCTAAGCAAGATAGACGTAACTGAAGCATTCGGAGACATTCATTTTGCTATGCGTGAATGGGGCATACGTAACCAATCCGCTCCTTATAAACATGGTTTTGTAAGATTTAGTCGAAGACCAATCTTTCCACAGACTTTATCAAAGTCGGCAAGCATTCGTTTTGCCTGGCCAATGTTTGGTATTATAAGGATGATATCATCAGCAAAGCGAAAGTGGTGTAATTGCCGGCCATCACTTTTCACTCCGATGTTATCCATTCCAGTGTTTGCATGACGTTCTCGAGGCTGGCGAAAAATAATTTCTTAGCTAATTACAGTCGTCCTCTGTTAGTGATATACCTGTTCATTCCATAGTATTCTTAAGAACGATTCCGAATATGAAGTTAGTCATTTAGGATCGTTATTGAAATCCTTCGTAAGTTGAACGGAATAGAAGCCAAATAGTTAATAGTTATGGAGCTGCATTTATGAATGTCAACTGTAATTATATCTTACCTAAAGTTCTATTCATACAGGATAACCACGGTGATATTGAGAATGGTTGTCCACTTTGCGAATGTAACGTAGTTGGCAGTATTGGTGAACAGTGTGATGCAGTTAGTGGACAGTGCACTTGCAAACAAGGCGTATTCGGAAAGGTTTCTACTGATTCGTTGATCGATCAATCATTTGATCGACTGATTGATCGATAATTTTTTGCGTAGTTGTCATCATGAATCTTTATATAACATTTGCAGAGATGTGATCAATGTCGTCCATCCTATTTCAACTTTACTGACGCGGGATGCCAATTTTGTCATTGTAACGTTCACGGATCTATGGAGGACGGAAAAGTCTGTTGGAAATTTCGTTATCCATAATATTTCTCAATATTATAAGATTCTCTCCATTGTGGGTTATCACTGCTACTTGGACCTAGAATTTTTCCATAAAAATAAAAATAACCAATAATAGCTTCGACATCCCGAAACATCAGCAGTAAGTTGAATTATTTGTAGGACTATAACGCTCCATCTTGATTTTGTTCAACAAAGACGATGATTTGAAAATAAAACCGTGTTTTATAGTTTTTTTAATATTGGTTTTTGCATATTTATTTAATGTTTGTGAAAAATTAAGAGTATTTGGGGCAGCGGTTAGAGTTGCTTCTGTGATCTAGTCGTTGGTTCAAACTCGTACCATGTGCTAACCAAGACGTCCAACCTCCGGGAATCGAATATTGTTACATAGAATCAGTATTTTTCAAATCGATTGCCATTTAGCCTTGGCATTAATAATAAATATTTTCACGCTTTATTAAGCTAACACGAGGTTGATAAATCTGAGGAAGAAGAAGACGTCGAAAAGTTAGCTGCCTAGAGTCTTTTATCAACCTCGTGTTAGCTTAATAATCAAAGAAGGTATTGTCAGCAGACTTTTCTGAAGCTCCACGAAAAACACTGACTTACATCGGCAGGTGCCCGCATGTCATTCAGTGGACGAAATATGCATTCAACCACCTCTGCGATGATACGAATAAACTACAACGCATTCATATTTTTTGGTCCCATAGGATGATGCAGTGAGACACAGTTTGCCGTATTGGTCCGGCGTTAGTCGCAGGACCAGACCAAGAACGTCTATGCTGCGTCTATGCTCAGATAAATACACTCATATCAGAATACCCATAACGAATTTTCTGCTCTACACCAAGTTATCTTCCAGAAATCTGCGGAAGGATAGAAGCACTCCGCGTGTCGTTCAATCTCTGATAGAGACGTCATACTCCGCTTCGTCGACCATGGTTACATGTGATCGAATGCATATCTAATATACGAAAACTTGTGGTCGCCTAGCGATGCATCAAGCCAGTGCTACTATCCTTGCATGCAAGTCTGTATTCAATTTTCCTTTTCCGGAGGGATAAAATGCTTGCTGATCCTTGGGCATAATCGAGCTATGGACCAAGTGTACACTACAGGACACTTCTAACCACTGCCCTATACGTGATCCAGAAGAACTCCGTATACTACTTAAGCCAAATCGGCTTCCTTTATTTAAAATAATCTACAAATGCTACACAAATATGACGACGTTTTGTAGTAAATGTGCAATAAATTCAGCGATAATTTTATTTTGTAAAATATTAGTATTTCTCTTATGTTCAAGCTAAATCGTACTAGATGTAGATTATTTTCATAAAAATATTGAAAATAAATATTAATAGAAATATCATCTTAATATTTCGAAACCGACCTTCCCTAAACCTCGGTGTGACAAATCAATATGTATTCTTTCTTGATAAGCTTACACGAGGT